CCATTCAATACAATCCTGGCTGATCATCCTGGCTTTCTCCCATACCCTTTGATCCCCTTAGTGTGAAGAACTATATCTAACTCCTTTTGCAGAATAACAGCATTGCTGGCTAGTCCTGCATTTATTAGTTAAGAGTCAGCCACATTGCTGTGGTCTGGAGTCACATGTAGGCCAGACCAGGCAAGGATGGGCGGTTTCCTCCCTTAAAGGACATTAGTGAATAAGATTCTTGAAAACATTCAATGTTTTGACCTCAACTGCTTTCTGTGGCAGAGAATTCCACAGACTCTCTATGCTCTGGATGAAGATATTTCTCCTCATCTCAATCCTAAATGTTTTATCCCATATCCTTAGACTGTAAACGCTGTATCCAGATTCCCCGATCATCAGGAACATCTTTCCTGTGTTCACCCTGTTAGAAGCTCTGTCCAGTCTCTTCATATGTCAGTCCTGTCATCTAGAAACCAGTGTGGTAAATCTTTGCTGTACTCTCTTCATAGGCAGAACCTTCTTCCTCAGATAAGGAGATCAAAACTGCACACAATAATCCAGGTGTGGTTTCATCAAGGTTTATATAATTGCAGCAAAACTGCCCTGCTCCTGCACTCAAATCCTCTTGTTATGAAGGCCATTTGCCTTCTTTACTACCTGCTGCACCTGCATACTTACTTTCAGTGACTGGTGTACAAAGACACCTGGGGCTTGATGTATCTCCTCCTTTCCCAGTCTATCACCATTTAGGCAGTAATCTGCCATCTTCGTTTTGCTCCCAAAGTAGATAACCTCAAATTTGTCTATATTATATTTCATTTGCCATGCATTTACCCACTCACTCAATTTGTCCAAATCACATTGAAGCATCTCTGTATCATCCTCTCAGTTTATACTCCCATCCAGTTTTGTGTCTTCTGCAAATTTGGGCATATTATATTTAGTTCCCCCATCTAAATCATAAATCCATATTGTGAATGGCTGAGATCCAAACATAGCTGGGACCTTATCAAAAGTGTTCTGAAAAACCAAGTAAACCACATTCACTGGCTCCCCTTTATCGACTCTATAAGTTTAAACTGTTAGGGCTAGCCATGACTGAAGAAGAATAAAATGCTGAAAGTAGTTCTCAGTTGACATAAATAGCTGGGAAAGATGTTTAGCTGAAATAGCAGCTTCCAAATTCAAGGTTCAAAGTTAAGTTAAATTACAAGCTAGAGTAATTGTAACATTTATAGAAGGGGTACATCGAAGGCAACAAGATTAAAATAACATACAGAGGGTCTTGTGAATGCAAATCATGGACACTGTTAAAATAGAAGCAATTGCTGCTGCTTGTATAGAGGCATTTTGATTGGGAACATCCTTGAGAAATGTTGATAGAAGCCTCCATACCAGGCTGGTCCAAAGTCTACTATTGACCATGGGATAGAACAGAAGGATCTGACCCACATTCATTAAGACCCCCAGGTAATTGTAGCCACAGGCATGAAAAAAGGAAGGCATTAAGGGATTTAATTACATTTGTATGGACTTTCAGTCTAAGGCAGCTAGGAGCCCCCTTGTTATTGGCAGCGGAGCACTGAATAACTGGCGCAAGAGCTGAAGTGTGGTATGTGATTGATTAATATGTGAAGGCCCAACAAAAAGTGATGAGGATGTCTGAAAATCTTGTGACTAAATGGGAAGACCCAGAATTGTCCATCAGCTGAACATGCAGTCACATGATTAATCTGATTGGCTATGTATATAATCAATTAATAATACAGCCAAAGGCAGGCTAAAAGCAAATGTATAAATGTGTATATTTCCCTTTGTCCCAGTGAATAAGCTTCTGGACTCTGAGAGGCTTTCTTCCCACTGGTGCAAAACAATAAAGCTGTTTGACAATGAAGTGCACCCAGGTGCCAAGTAATTAATTAATTAAGTCATTCCGCCCCAACATATCCTTGAAAAATTCCAGTAGTTTTGTCAAGCATAATTTCCATTTCAAAAATCTATGTTGACTCTGTCGAATCCTGTCACTGTTTTCCAAGTTTACAGCAATTAAATCTTTTATAATGCATTTTCCTTTCGACTGATGTCAGGCGAACTGGTCCATAATTCTCGGTTTTCCCTCCACTGACTTGTTTAAATAATAGATTTACATGAGATATCCTCTAATCCATACTGGTCCAGAGTCTATAGAATCTTGAAAGATGACCACCAATGCATCCATTAGTTCTAGAATCACTTCCTTAAATGCTCTGTGATATAGATTATTGAGCCTAGGGTATTTATTGCCCTTTACTTTCAACTTCTTCACCACCACTTTCCTGCTAATTCGGATTTCCTTCAGCTCCACCCTCTCATGAGACCCAATGCTCTCCAACATTATTGAGACATTATTTGTGTCCTCCTTTGTGAAGACAGAACCAAAATGTATATTTAATTAGTCAGCCATTTCTTTGTTCCCCATTATAATTTCCTGTTTCTGACTGTAAGAGACCTACTTTTGTCTCACTACTTTTTCTCTTCACATACTTATAGAAGCTTTTGTAATCAGTTTGTAAGAATTTGACGCACAATTATAATGGGACAGGCTGGAACATATTTCCTGTATCTCATTTTTCATCTTTTCATATACAGAGTCAATTATCATGGGCTGCATCAAAATTGTTTCATGTCCTCAGGGAAGATGTGTCGCTACATCCTTCTCTGAAATATTGAATTGATTCTAAAACTAATATTCATCATTGACCTTTCTGGGCATGAGTGGGGATGGATTAGTCAACTCTTGAAGACAGGTACGGGGATAGTGACGTGTGGCTATTCTGTGCCCATTCGTTTTAATTTCAGGCTTCAAAATCCCAAGATAATTGTATGTAGCCAGTACTAAATATGCTGTTCACTGTCTGTCTCAAAAAGGTGCCCAAATACATGCAGGACTGGCACTATTTAAAATTATTCTGCCTGACTTAAAGCCAGGCTACTGCTAGAGACGTCGTCATATAGTTTTACATCATAGAATGAGATCCCGTGGCCCAACGTGTCTACGCCAGTTATCAAACATCCATTTATTTGAATCCTAGTTTCCAGCACTTGGTCCTTAAACTTGTACGCCATGGCATTTCAAGTGCTCATCTAAATAGTTCTTAAACGTCTTGAGGGTTCCTGTCTCCACCATCCTTACAGGCAGTGAGTTCTAGGTACCCATACACTCTAGGTGAAAACATTTTTCATCAAATTCCTTCTAAAACTCCTGCATCCACTGGTTCTTGATCATTCTACTAAGGGGAAATGTTTCTTGCTGTCCACCCTGAATTTGCTCCTCAGAACCTAATACACCTCAATCAGTTGCTTCCTCAGCCTTCTCAGCTCTAGGATAAACAGCTCCAGCCTCTCTTCATAGTTGAATAGCTTCAGGCCAGGTAACATCCTGGTGACTCTCCTCTGCACACTCTCAGGTTCAATCACATCCCTTCTATAGCGTGCCATCAGAATTGCACACAGTACTCCAGCTGTGGCCTAATTAATGTTATATGCAGCTCCATCATAGCCTCCTTATTCTTGCATTCAATGCCTTGGCCAATAAAGGTAAATATCCCATGTGCCTCCTTACCAACCTTACCTACCTGTCCTCTGACTTTAAGGATCTATGGACATCCACACCAAGGTCACTCTGATCCTCTGTACTTCCTAGGGTCCGACCATTCAGCATACAATCCCTGTTGGTATCACCCTTTGCTTTTACGAAAACATGTTGGCCCTGCAATCTCATTATTAGCCTTCGAATGTCTCCGACTACTCTGATGTGCGTTTACCTGTGAGTAGCTTTTCCAAGTCCACTTTGGCCAGGTCCTGGCTTATCTAATTAATATCAATTTTCCCTCAATTTGGAATCTTTATTTTTGGCCCATTGTACATAATTGGGTTCCCAGGGTCAACATTACGACCGCTACTTTTCTTGATTCACATCAATAACCTAGTCTTTAGTGTGCAGTGCACAATTTCAACATTTACAAATAGCCAAATATTGGAAGTCTTGTGAAATGCAAGGAGGATAGTGGGCAATTAGGTGACTGATGAAGAGAACTGTGAAGCGGTACATTCTGTTCGGAAGAATGAGGAGAGGTAATATAAAAAGAAGGATGCAATTTGCAATGGGATGTAGGGCTAAAGATTGTGTAGGTACAACCATAGTGCTGATGGAAAGGGAGTCCCAGGACTTTAACCCAGTGACTGTGAAGGAATGATGATATATTTCCAGCTCAGGAAAGTGGGAGCACTTGCAGAGGAACTTGCAATGGTGATGTTCCCATTCAAAGGCTTTCCATGTCCTTTGAGATGGTAGTGATCACAAAGAAGTAAGCTGTTGTCAAAGGAGACTTGGTGAATTCCTACAGTGCAATTTGTAGATAGTACATGTTGGTGCTAATCTGCATCAGTTGTGGAGAAAGTGACTGTTGAACATGGTGGATGAGGTGTAAGCCATCAGTGCTATGCTGTGATTCTAGATAATCAGGATTCTGTTTATGTCATAAAGCTTTGATTTCCATATTAGAATGGGTCCATAAGTTTAAACCGGTAGGTGTTCAGGTGCTGCAGTTGACCCCTTTTGAAGTAAAGCGATCTGCATCACTAGTGTAAATAAGGCTGTAAGACAAGTGAACCAATTTTGAAGCTATACCAGCCTCTAAACTCCAGGAGATGGCTGCGTAGACCGCACTACAGAAGATTGACTAATAATCTATAATAATATGTATCAGTATAAAGCAGCAGATACCATCATAATATTCTCATTTGCTCTGTGCAATCTTGTGCAGTCTTTGAAGAACAGTCATTGTTGTTGTGCAGGAGGAAAAAGCAACTGAACCCAGTATAATATGCATGATTTCACAAAGGGGAAGCAGTTGCCTTTCAATAACAATGTGATTAGTCCCAGAGTGCTTTCAATATATTGACTGAATCTTGCATTGCAATGACTGAATCTCTCGCAATAAAAGGCAATGTTTACAATACCACCTTACCTGTTGATCCTGCAGAAAAAATCGTTTTTGAAACAGTCACTTTGTCCTCAGAATTCTTTGCCCAGTCAACCATTCCTCTCCATCCTTTCATTGGGAAATTGATATCTGTAGCCCCAATGACTGGCCGTTTATAAATACAGATCACTGAAAAAGAAACAAGGATTAAGTTTTTCGGTAGATTGAAACTCATCTATTGGTGAAAAGTGACTGGTCAGAGACACTGTTAAATTGTGACCATTCAGGACTGTCTATGTAGAGTTGCACATTCTCCACACGTCTGTGTGGGTTTCCTTCAGGTGCTCCAGTCTCTGTCCACAGTCCAAAGATGTGCAGGTTAGGTGAATTGGCCATGCTAAACTGCCCATAGTGTCCAGGGATGCACAGTTTAGGTGAATTAGCCATGAGAAATGTAGGGTTACAGGGATAGGCTAGGGAGGGTGGATCTGGGAGGGATGCTCTTCAGAGCAGCAGTGTGGACTCGATGGGCTGAATGGTCTGTTTTCACACAGTAGGGATTCTATGATTCTATGAAATATACTGAGCAAGATCAAAATCGCTTTACACCCTTTCACCACAGGATACAACAAATTAAATATCAGAGCACCTTTGAAATTCCCTCTTCTGAACTTTCAAATATCCTTTCTTTCGTCCCTGAATTTTCACAGCATTGAAATCATGGGGTGGATTTAATCTCAAGGGTGGAAGTTTCACAGCCAGGATTGAAAATGCATACCAAGCCCATGTAAACGGGACATTTGGAAGAACTTTACCAGTGGCAGCCAATTGAGAAGCTGTAACCCAGACTGCCATCACTGATGACAGTGGCTCACCTGTCAGTGGTGGTAACTCAATGACAATACCAGCTGTTCACCAGGGTCACCAAAAGAAGTGACCGCTGCCAGGTTTGCAGGAAATAAGGAGGGGACACTTCCACATTGAAGGACCCTCGCAGGGCAGTTTTTGATGTTAATGAGTCCTACTCTTTGAAAAAAAACCCAAAGAACTGCAGGTGCTGTAAATCAGAAACAAAAACAGAGCTTCCTGGAAAAGGTCAGCAGGTCTGGCAGCATCTGTGAAGAGAATTCATAGTTAACGGTTAGGGTCTAGTGACCCTTCTTCAGATCTCTTTGCCCGAAGCACCCTTGCAGGGCAGTTAGGAATTGTTTTTGATTGTCCACTGCAAATTTGCAGGTTGGCCCCTGTGATTAGACAGTGAATTGTCCAGTCGAGTCTCAGGGATGGATATTGCCACTATGGAAATGCCGCTGCACCCTGTAGAAACTTGAGAGGTTAATTCTGAAATGAAAGGCGGTCTCCTGCCATTGTGGGAAACATACCAGTAAATTCCCAGCCTTAATTGGCTTGGTCACAAAACTCATTGGTAACCCGTATGCCTTCTTAACTACCTCATCTACCTTTCCTGCTGCTGTCAAGGATCTATGGACATGCACACTAATGTCCTTCGGATCCTCATTACTCCCTAGGGCTATTGCATTCAATGTACAATCCTTTGCCTTGTTAGTCTTTTCACAATACATCTCTTCACAGTTTTGGGGATTAATTTCAATTGGCCACTATCCGATCAGCTCATCTATACTGCCTTGTGGTCTAAAGTTTTCCTCCTTGCTACTTACAACATCACCAATCTTCATATCATTTGCAAACTTGCTGATCATAAGTCCTACATTCAAGCTTCCCACATGACTGAGTCCATGTAGATGACATCAACTGAACTACCCCCATCAACCCACCTAGTCACCTCCTTGAAAAACTCACTCAGATTTGCTAGAAATGATTTCCCCCTTACAGAGCCATGAGACCTTCAAGTGCATTTTAATTTTGCCCCTCAGAAATGTTTTTCAATGGTTTCCCGATTACAGATGGTAGACTTATTGGCCTGTGTTTTTCTGTTTCCTCATACCACCCTTCTTGAATAACTGTATCGTATTAGCTATCCACCAGCCCTTTGGCACCTCTCCTGTGGCCAGACAGGATTTGAAAATTAATGCAAGAGATGCTACAATCCTCTGCCTTGCTTTGCACGCCAGCCTGGAATGTGTATCATCTGGGTCTGGAAATTTATCCACTTTCAAATTTGCTAAAACTGCTAACACTTCTACCCCCTCAATGTTAATTTGTTCAAGTATGTCACATAACTCCTGGATTTCTGTACCTATATCATCCTTCTCTATTGTGAATATAGATACAAAGTACTCATTAAAACCTCAGCTATGCCTTCCCGCTCCATGCACAGATTATCACTTTTGTCCCTAATGAGCCCTACTCTTAAAAATAAAAACAAAAGAACTGTAGATGCTGTAAATCAGAAACAAAAACAGAAGTTTTTGGAAAAGCTCAACAGGTCTAGCAGCATTTTGTGAAGAGAAATCAGAGTTAATGCTTAGGGTCGGGTGACCTTTCCTCAGATCTCTTGTCCCGAATATATTTACAGAATGCCTTTGGATTTTCCTTAATGTCACCTACCAACATTTCTCATGTCCACTCTTTACACTTCTAATTTGATTTTTAAGCAATCCCTTGCACTTACTATACTCCCTGACAGCTTTGCTGTTTTATGCGAACATAGGAACACATGCTAAGCCATTCAGCCCCTGGAATCTGTCCCACCCCACCATTTAATGAGATTATGGCTAGTCTGTTCCCTAAGTGCGTATAATGTATTTCCCAAGAAACTGCTGCTCCTGATTTTGCAATTATCCCATTATTAACAAAAAATGCAGGATTTATACTTGACATCATATTAAAAGCCTTCCCACTTCATGGCCTGTCTCCAAAGCCTGGAAAAATTCTGGTCTCTGAATTAAAGAATGATTTTCAGCTTCATTCCAATTTTCTACCTGTTCCTCATACTCCTTGAATCCCTGAGAAATGAGAACTTTTTTTTTCTGTATCAACCTTAAGCTGATTCAACAACGGAAAATTCACAGGCCTTTGGGGACAGAGAATTCCAAAGATTCAATACACTTAGACTGAAGAAGTTTTTCCACATTCCTGTTTGAAATAATTCACATCTTATACTGAGACTATGTTCCCATGTTATTGCTGTGTTCCCTAAACGAGGAAACAAACTCACTCTCTACTTTGTTATACTCCTTTGGTATACGAAGATACAAACAAAGAACAAGAGTAGATCATTTGGCCCTTCAAGTTTGCTCCACCATTCAACAAGATGGAGCCGATCTAGTTTTACTCTCAACTCCACATTTCTACATACCTCTTGGAATCTTTCATCCCCTTGGTAATCAAGACTATAACAATGTCTGCCTTAGCAATATCTGAAGATTCTACATCCAATAATCTTTGAGGAAGGGAATTCCAAAGATTTTCAACCCTTTGAGAGAGCTTTTTTTTCCTTATCTCTGTCTTAAATGGATGATACCTTATTTCCAAATCAGACACCTCGTTCTAGACTACTGTATATTGCAAGAAGACCACCTCTCTTCTAAATTCAATTTCGTCAGCCTCACTGAACACGGACTGCTTCAGCATCTGAGGAATCACAAATGGTATTGTACATTATGTAATCATCAACAAACATTCCCACTTCCGACGTTCTAATGGAGGCAAGTTCATTGATGAAGTAACTGAAGATGGTTGGGCCTAGGACACTACCCTTAGGAACTTCTGTAGAGATGTGCTGGAGTTGACCAACCTTCAACATCCCCAACCACCTTCCTATGTGCCAGGTATGACTCCAAGCAGTGAACAGTTTGACCCCCGTTTTCCATTGATTCCAGTGTTGCTATGGCTCTTTGACGCCGTAATCAGTCAAATGCAAACTTGATGTTTTGGGCTGTCACTCTTACTTCACCTCTGGAATTCAACTCTTTTGTTCATGTGTGAACCAAGACTGTAATGAGAGATGAGTGGCCCTGGTGGAACCCAAACGAGGTGCCACTGAGCAGCTTATTGTTAGGCAGGTCACATTGTTGATGACACCTTCCATCACTTTCCTGATGGTTGAGAGTAGACTGATGGGGTGGTAATTGGCCAGCATTTATTGTCCATCCTTAATTGCCCTCAAGAAGGTGGTGGTGAGCTGTCTTGAACTGCTGCAGTCCACCTGTTGTGGGTTGACCCACAATACGATTAGGGAGGGAATTCCAGGATTTTGACCCAGCGACAGTGAAGGAACAGCGATATATTTCCAAATTAGGATGGTGAGTGGCTTGGAGGGGAACTTGAAAGTGGCAGTGTTTCCATGTATCTGCTGCCCTATCCTTCTAGGTGGAAGTGGTCAACTGTTTGGAGGGTGCAGTCTAAGGATTTTTAGTGAATTGTCCACCATCATTCATGACTGGATGTGGCAGAACTTAGACCTGATCTGTTGGTTGTGGGATTGCTTAGCTCCATCTACCACTTGCTGTTTCTGCAGTTTGACGTACAATTAATTCTGTTTCCACTTCACCAATTGACACCTCATTTTTGGCTATACCTAGTGCTGTTCCTGGCATGCTGTCTTGCACTCTCTATTGAACCCCTGGCTGGATGGTGATGGCTGATTGGGGGATATAGGGCCATAAGGTTGCAGATTGTTTTGGAATACGATTCTGCTGCTGTTCCTGGCCCACAGCGCCTCACAGATGCCCAGTTTGGAGTTGCTAGATCTGTTTGAAGACTGTCCCATTTAGCATGATGATAGTGTCACATAAATAACCAAGGGTATTCTCAATTTGAAGGTGAGACATTGTCTCCACAAGGGTTGAGCACTGGTCACTCTTACCAATATTGTCATGGATCAGCTGGCAGATTGGTAAGGATGAGGTCAAGTATGTTTTCCCTGTTATTGGTTCCCTCATCACCTAATGCAAACTCTTGTGTCTTGTAAATGGTAGGCCTTGGGGATTCAGGAGTGAGTTACTTGCCACTGGATTCCAAGGCTGTGACCTGCTCTTTTAGCCACAGTCCGTATCTGGTTAGTCCAGTTCAGTTTCAGTAGCTGCCAGGATGTTGATACTGGGGGATTCAGCAATGATGATACCACTTAAAGTTAAGGAACAATGTTTAGATTCTGTCTCATTAAAGATGGTCCTTTCCTGGCACGTATGTGGACTATTCTCACTTGTCACATGTCAGCAGAAGACTGGATATTGTCACGGAATACTTCAGAACCTGTGGAGTTG